TTTGGTATATCGTGCAGGTAGAAACAATCGATGATTATAATGAATATAGTTTCTATGCATCTGGACTTTGTGGATTAGGATTATCAAAGTTTTTTTATGTTTCTGGAAGAGAAGATTTAGCACCAGAATCCATTTCGATTTCCATGGGTTTATTTCTTCAGGTATTGGCCTCTAACATGTTTATCGCGGAGCCTTAAAAAAAGCTCTGTATGCTAGCTACTGATTACAAGCATATTTGTCTATACATTTCAGAAAATAAGCATCATTAGAGATTATCTAGAGGACATAAATGAAGTACCTAAATGTCGTATGTTTTGGCCTCGTCAAATTTGGAGTAAATATGTTAACAAACTCGAGGTTTGTTTTCATCATAACATGTTGCTATTTCTTGTTTGAAGTTCATACGTTGATTCGTTGTTCTGTAATTTCCATCTTCTTTATGTGTCTCAGGACTTTAAGTACGAGGAAAACTCGGTCAAGGCAGTACAATGTCTGAATGAAATGGTCACTAATGCTTTATTATATGTAGAAGATTGTCTGACTAGCATGTCTAGTTTACGCGATCCTGCTATCTTTCAGTTCTGTGCAATTCCACAGGTATAAATTTCACTTGAACAGTTCAAAACGTTGTTTTTCTACCGCGTATTGGTTTCTATATGAGAACAAATGTGACATGATCACTCAATTTGCAGTTATACTATACTTGGAGAACTCATTTCCTTGTGATTTTCTTGTACTACCAGATCATAAATATGGGGAATTTGTCGATGTACTACAACAACGTTGAGATTTTCAAAGGCGTTGTTGAAATGAGACGAGGTAAAGATACACGACTTGTCAATATGCATGTCTGTTTGATGCTTTTTTGTGGATGAAAACAATTTCTTGCTGAGTCTTGTTCTTTGGTTTCTTCTTTTTAGGCCTCTGTGCTAAGATTATTGATCAGACGAGGACGATGGCTGATGTCTACAGAGCTTTTTATGACTTCTGTTGTATAATGGAATCTAAGGTATAACATGTACTATTCTCAGAACAACTTTTAACTCTGCAGTAACTAGTGGAGACATCTCGTGTGTTTTACTTCTTTATATTTATGGCTCTTCCTAAGTGAAAGTTCTGACTCCGCCACTGTTTGAAGTTGTGACTTATAACTCATTCTAAAGGTTATTGGCTAAGTTAGAATTGCTCAAGTTCCTGTTTTTCGTTCACATCTGCATCGTTAGAGTTTTTCATATAGTTGTCCCTCGTGAGTTGAGGTTAAATGAAGTACTGAAGATTCATATAGCCGACCCCAATTTGTTTGAGACTGTAGCCTAGTTGTTTGTGGTAAAATTCTAAATTAGTCCATTTGATATATGAAGCCCTTTGATGTTCAAATATTAGGTGAAATTCTACTATGGTGAATTCTTCTTTATGTTCAAATTTTGTTTCTTTAATTTCATCGTGCTCGATTAAACAACTTATCAATCAATTGTTTAAGGTTGATCGCGATGATCCAAATGCAACGAGTACATTGAAGAGGCTTGAAGCAATTTTGAAAACTTGCAGAGACTCCGGAACCTTAAATCAAAGGTTGGTTATGTTTCCTTGTACCCTCCTCAGACCACACTAGTGGAATTACATTGGGTATGTTGTTGGTTGTTCGTTTATGGAAATTTTTGACATTATCATTTTGATGACTTTATTTACCACCAGGAAATCTTACACATTCAGCCATCAGCCTAATTATAATATTCCAGTTTTGGTGAGTTTTTTTTCTCATATTTAGTTCATGATTTACATATACTTTACATATGTGGAACGTCTATCAGAACAGTCTATCTATCTTCATAAGGTAGAGGTAAGACTCTGTACACACCACTCTCGGGATACACTGAGTATATTGTTGTTGTTTACATATACTTTAGTTTTTCTGGATTCAATCTTTTCTTATACACTCAATTTCTTTTGCAGATTATCTTCTTTTTCATCATGATGGCTATTCTTTTATCAACAAAAATACCTTAAGAGACCATAGGTGAGCATTCTATATGTGTTCTTACTTGAATAAAATGAAAAGAAAATTAAAATTGTAAATTTAAAAACTACACCTCTTTCCTAAACAAGTTGGGATCGGCTCACTTCTTCCTATATGCTCATAATTTTATATCAATATCTGTATTATACATGAGGATTCATCATAAATTGACAAGTTTACGCTAGCTACTAGCCTACCACAACCTCCTTTTTTGTCAGGGATTGAAATTGACAATGTGAGCAAGCTCATACAGACGGAGTTAAATTTTGAAAAAGAAATTAAAACAATATATTGTGTAAACAAAGTGTCTATTTTTCTATGTTTAAGAACAATATTCTTAGTTTCATTGATTTAATGGTAATTTTAGCTCAAGACAAGTAAGAATCATGGGTTTAATATTGCTAATTATTTTTTTTTTTTTCATTCTGCTTTTTTAGCAGGTTTGATGTAGAAGAAAAAGAGAAGTCTAGTCAAACAAGTCAAATAAATGTTGTAACATTTTAAAAATGATTTATGTACCCATAATATCCTTTCTACATTATAAAAATATTACATACATGGATCCCATTTTCACTTGCCTTCCCAAAATGAAAGAAAGGTAGGATTATTCTAAATTTCAAGAAAGTTTGGGATCGATTATTTAAAATTATAACGATTTATGTCGCTTTATTTAAGCTCATTTTAGTCCGTTCAAGATGAGTTGATGCATGGGCATTATTGGAAGTTGGTTCCATCTCATGCCATAACTTTGTATTTTATATTAAAAATATTAAATTCAGATGAATACGACATCATACCACAATGATAATCGATGCACTTTTGAATCTTGTCTTTATAAGAAAATAATTGTCTTTGAGTTTCAGCGTTCATAACTGAAACTTCTTGAAAGTATCCTGGAATTCACTCGTAGAAATTAAAACTCTAAACAATTAAGTACTATTTTTAAAATTACGGGACTGAAAAGTGGCTATTTGGTGAATATTAGGAAGAAAGTTTAACAAACTTTTTGAAGTGGCCCATTGGGCCTCATAGAAGGTTATGCAGATACATGATTGTTCATTCTATATTTGGGCCAAGTGAAAAATGGGCTTTCCAAATTATTGATTTGAAGGTTAATATAGGCAATTGATTGAACACTACTTGAAATTTATATAGGCAATTGATTGAACACTACTTGAAAATTCGTTCTTCTGTATTTTCTTAAACTATGTGTCAAATCAGATTAGACCATTCTTTTTAAAATGGAGGGAGTACCTCATTTAGTGATTCAACGTTCTCGCTGAGATTTGTCCCATCATTGTACTAAAAGAGTGTTAGACTTTAATTTCATATTTATCACGACTCAAATTCATAACACGTACTGCTCGCGTTGAGTCAACTAACCTTACAGATTTGTCCTTTAGACTATGTCATCATCGAGTTCAAAAACATGTGTATCATGTGAACTCTTGTGCTATGCGGCTATGCCTCATATAAACTCTTCATTTTCCTATTTCGTTCAATGTAAGATTCGCCTAAGGTAATATATACACCTCTCCTTTACAAGTTTCACCAACTTTAAAATCTATCGATATAACCTGTCCTTCGTAGTAGACATCACATCTGCATATAATTAAAAAATAAATTTTCAAACTAAGTTTTTAGCTAGTTTATCTAATTACCTATATTTGAACAAGGATTAATTTGACTTTCCCACCTACCCACGATCATATTTATTACTTTACTCATTTTAGACTCATATATAAGATTTTTATTTTTATTTTTGCTTCCAATTTAATCATCAATTAACGTGTAGTTTTATAGACCATACATGAAAGGAAATATTAGAAGTAATTGTCAAATTTTGATGTACTACAATTAGTGTTTTTTAATGGAACTCATGAGAATCTTTGAACTAATTATCTTAATTTATGATTAATTAATGATTGATTTGATCTAATATATTAGTATTAATCTTTACTAATCACATGTCATTGTCTGTACAGCACTAAAAACAAAGTGGCTTCTCTATACTAAATAGGGATAAAAAAACAATATAAATTGTCTTTTCTGCCAAAATTCACCACACGACTTCCTTTAGTGGTAAGTGGTGGCCTAATACGTAATATCGATGCATAAAATATTTTATATTAACGTAAAATTAAAAAAAAACATCTTAAGATGGTGTGATATAAGTGATCTATTGTGTTGCAGACATTATTAGTTGAATTTACATTCAAATCCGTAACATATAAATTATATAGATTTGAAATTTACGATTCTATCTTTGTAAAAGCTACGTAAATCTTTTTAGCATATATATTCCAAAATAATTTACTATTTTCACAGTTTTAATCCAAAAAAGTAAAATAAAGCTGCAGCAATATTTTGTCACAATATAAAATTTTATAAAATCGAAATAATTTTTGCTTTTATGTTGATGTCATGAAACGTCAAGTAACACATATACATGCATCCAAAACCTTCAAAAGAGTTTTAAATTCACTAGATAAATAAAACAACTATATAAAATTGAGTAATGGGAATCAGCTGGTTCAAATTTTGAGGTCATTCTGTTCCCTTTTATTCTTTTTTATTTTATTTTCCCTCCTATTTTTAACTCGATGTTCAATAATTATATCGATCGTTTTCTAATAAAAGTGATTCCATACCAAAGAGTGACAAAAATCCGCTAGTTGAAATTTTGAGGAGGTTACCTATATAAAGATAACTGAACTGGTGCATCATGTGATATCTCATAAGGAAAGTCAAACATTCAATTCTCAAACAATGTTTCTCAATCGAGTTTATCACACTAATGACTAAACTTGTTTAATGCGATTTATATGTCACGTGAGATTTGCAAGTTATTCCATATAAATAAGTTTGACTAGTAAAATCCCATTTCAAAATAAAACGTTTTCTAGTTTAACTCGAGATCTCTTGTTAAAAACTTAAAACATACTTGCCACTTCCTATTCTTGGTCATTCTATCTCAACATCCCACTTATTTGCCTCCCAAGAAAAAAAAAAAGTCCCAAAATTCTCCTATCACCTTTTTCCTATAATTTGCTACTCTTGTTTGATGAAAAAAACAGTCCAAAAGAAGCTAAAAAGATCTAAAACTAAAAGCCTATTCTATGCAAAGATCAAAAAATTCTTAAAGAACTATTCTTTATTGCTTGTTCTTGAAGATTTGTAGTACCTCCATACTGCTTAACAAACAAGCTGTGTTTTTATAGACAAAGACTGTAACTTTTTTACAAGAAAAGTTTATTGAAAGAATGTATGGTGATTCCCAACTCTTAGTTTTCTTCTGATTCTTGTTTTTATACAACAAGAAAAAAAACCCCCAAATTTAAGAAGGGGTCTTTTTTTTTTTAATGGATTCATCAGAGTTTGAGAAAAACCAGAACAATTCTGGGTTATTAAGGTTTCGTTCAGCCCCAAGTTCATTTCTTGAAAATTTCATTGATGGAGTTGGGAATAAAGGAGATATGGGTACTGAGAATAAAGGGTTGTCATCAAAATTCAATCTTGATGGTTTAAATAACCAGTTGGTTTCTCAGAATTCTCTTGATAGTAAAGTTTTTGCAAATTTGAGTAGTAATTCACAGTTGCCACCTCAATATCCAAGGCAAAATTCTACTGCTCATATGGTGGGGTCAATGGAAGGGGGTGGTGGGTACAGGGTGATGGGGTCATTATTGGGAAGTAGTAATAATCATCATCAGGGGCAAAACAAATTGGCATCAAATCTTATGAGGCAAAACAGTTCTCCAGCTGGTTTATTCTCTCAACTCAATTCTCTAAATGGTACTGTTTGATATTCTTGTTGTTCTTATTTAGGAAATACTATAGTTTGTGGCAATTTTTTTGTGTTTTGTTTTTCAATAGTAGGTAGGATTGCATTGTCTTGATGGCTTGTAGTTCGATGGTAGTATTATTTGGTTGTAGTACTATTCTGCTACTGTCTGTTTCGTTTACTACGCTATTGTTTCTCGTACTACCATTACATCTCTTTTAGTTTTTTTTTTTTGTCTTGAGCTGAGCCTGAGGGACTATTGGAAACAGGCTCTAGGGGTAAGATTTTTGTGTACAATCTACCTTCGCTAGACCCTACTCCGTGGGAATACACCGGGTATGTTGTTGGTGTTGTAATAGTAGGTAAAGGGGTGTATTTATTAATAGTTCAATTCCTTTTATATGTGTTTTTAATTCATTTTTTTACACAGAAATGGTGTGGAATTAGAGTTTCTAGTAGTTGTTAAATGATTTAGTTGATGCATATATGTCAGAAGACTATATTCATGTTGGTGTTCTGGCTTTGCCCTGATTTAGGTCCTGTTTCATATATCTGTTCCAAATTGGAGTAGATGATGGTAATCTTGTTTGTTTATATTTTGGCGGAATGGTTTGGGAGACCCTTATACTTGTTTCGGATTGTCAGCCCGGTCCCTGTACTCAATGTGGTTTCATCAAGACCCCTATAATTGCTAAAACACATTAGTTTAAACTATTATGAAATGAGGTCCTTTTATTAGTTTCCTTAGAAACTCAAACTTTTAAGATTCAAGATTAGGTAAGTGTTCAAAGTAGTTAGTACAAGATTTAAGAATAAAACACGAATCACAAATTCGTATGTCCTCATTCCATTGGTATGTTTCGAGGCATTTGTAATTGTGATCCCGTTTGCTAGAACCAAAGGGTCTTTAGGTAGAAATGTCTATTGATGATAGTCATTTTTATTGGTTTTTTCCGCTTCTCACCACCTTCGTTCTCTAGTCCTGATTGTGTTGGTTGAATGGCAATTTACAGGCTATGCCACGTTGAAAGGCGGTGCTGGAGGTTATAGAATGGCAAATGGTGCTAATGGAAATTCAACTCCATCTTCAAGCAGGTTGAAAGGTCATTTTGGCTTCTCATCAGTGACACCTCCTTCATTAGGAATGTTGTCTCGAATCTCAGAGGTCGATAATGAGAGCAGCATAGCAACTTCCCTCGATGATGATGAGAAGCGTGGAAATGGCAACTCAGAACCTCAACTTTACAATATGGGATTTCCTTTTAATTCTTGGAGTGATCCTTCACAGTTTCAGCAGACACTCACAGGCCACAAAAGGGAGTTGGATAGTGAGGGGAATAAGCTATTTGCTAATGCTCAGGTACGATGAGAATGAATGTACGGTATAGTTTGGTGTCAATTTTTGATAGGTTATCTGGATTTTGAATTGAAAATCTTCGTGTATAACCAGATTGAAGAACTTGGAAATCGGCCTCCAATTTTGTCACACCACCTAAGTTTACCAAAGACACCAGCTGATATAGCAGCTATGGAGAAGTTATTGCATTTTCAAGATACTATTCCTTGTAAGATCCGTGCCAAACGTGGCTGTGCTACTCATCCTAGGAGCATTGCAGAAAGGGTATGACATACACAACATATTTATACATATGTGTAGTCAATCTTCTAATTCTTGTGTTCATTGTTGTCATGACAATCTCTGAAATTTCCCGACAAGGCAGTGTAAGTTTAAAGTTCAATTATGAATCAAGAAGTAATTTAGTAAAATTCGCGAGATAAACTTATATGGTGGTAATTCAGGTGAGAAGAACACGTATCAGTGAACGAATGAGAAAGCTACAAGAGCTTGTTCCCAACATGGACAAGGTAGATTTCTTTCAATTTCCGCACTCTTTTTCCCCCCCTTTTCTTTTAGTGAAGTCTTACTAAGTGTATAATTCATGTTGACAGCAAACAAACACCGCGGACATGCTAGACTTGGCTGTCGAGTACATTAAAGGCCTCCAAAAGCAATACAAGGTATAATTTTGAAGCATAAATCGATAATCTGCTTTACTCATTTGTCTTTGAAACTTCTCACATATTTATGTTATGGTTATAGGTACTCACTGACTGTCGCGCTAACTGCAAATGCTCAGCAATGCAGAAACCAGATTGAAACCAAAGAGTACAATGGAGAAGAGTATACTTGAATGAAGTTCATTTTCATAAGTGTAGAGGCTAGAAACTTTAAGAAAAAGTTATGAGGAATAACTACAAAGAAGAAGAAAAAAACAGATCTTTGGCTGTTCTTTTGGTAGATTCTTTAGACTAACAATGTTTCAAAGTTCAAAACAAAACATAATTAGTTAGAAAAGTGTACATTAGTTGAATAAGATTATGCATTCACTTTTCTCTCAAGTTATATATATATATATACTTGTAGCGTAAAGAATTTTTACACTATCAATGTAATTTAGCCGATTATATCAGGTAATTTTGTAAGGAGTTCATCTGAATCTTCTTTGTTGGAAAATTATACTGTATATAAAAGGTCAAAATTATTAGTAGGTGTGGGATCTTCTTTGCTTTTTCATGTGCTTACCATTTTTATATTTTGAGTTTCGTTAGTGAAAATTTTACCTCGAGTCGCACATAACATAAAGTTAGTGTGAGTTAGCATAAAGTCAATGCTTCTTTTTGTCCACTTGATCTCATATATGAGCTGTTAGATCCCTTCTTTCCATTTATAGACCAACCAATAATGGTGATGGCTGAGTTTGTTATTGGTGAAAGTCAAACATATCTAAATATTAAAGCCTATATGACTCAAACCTTTAACTACCTATATGACCTTTTGTGTCTCTTTCTTCTCTTAGGGTAATCTTATCTGATTCTTTTTCTATTTTTAGAATATTTTATTTGATAATCATGATATTTTGATCCGTTTACACGCATATCGATTAATTTCACAAAATACTTGTTATCTCTTAACAAGTATATTAGGTAACTGTATCCATGACGCCATCAAAACTTGGACAAAAAGGAAGAAATCACTAATGTATTTTTACATTCCCTGAGATTTAGCTAACGTTTGATCATAGATTTTGGATCAAATTTTGATAATCTATCTTTAAATATCTGTTTGGCCATGAAATCTGATCTTCAAATATTTTCAAAAATTATTGCCAAACAAATAGTAAAAACCTGAAACTTCATATGACTCAATCCACTTTATTGATTACTAGTCCGCTGTCTCAGATACATTGATCCTGTTCAATTATTTGAATGATCACACAATTTTAAGAGGCATATCTGCTTACTGCTATGCCTTTTTTGTTGTCCAATTAGAAAAAAAGGGGCTGTGATATTATTCATTGCATTGAATTGGTTTAGTTGGTTTTGCCTTGGGAATGCTCATACCATATCAGTATTTGGGGTGGAAATGTGACAACAAAAGTGCAAAGTATACATCACACCTTTGGGCCCATGACAGCCCCACACCACTGACTTACACGTACATTGCTCGGATTTTTCAAAAATAATGTCATATCTATATCAAATCCTTAAAAATATACTTCCTCCGTCCCATTTTATGTGGCACCATTTCCTTTTTGGTCAGTTCCAAAAAGAATGTCACATTTCCTTATATGATAAGTATTTAAAGGTACTATTCTTTTTATACCCTTCTTGGTCCCGCTTAATCTTAAAATAATACTCCAATACATTTATGAGGAGAGAGAAAAGTGAGTCTACTTTTTAAAGGATAATTTGATAAACATTTCAAAGTCTTCATTTATTTTTTAAACTTTGTGCCCGGTCAAATATTGCCATATAAAATAAGATGGAGGGAGTACTATTTTTGAAAAGTCTAAATAACATAGATTCTAACCAAGGATAAACAATCAAACGCACGACACCAATAGATTCCGAATCTCATGGCAATTCCACAATTTATATAAATGTACAAAATGATTTTTTTATATCCTATTTGTACTATATAATTTTCGACATAGAAATTTGTGTTAATTGACATTTCTAATTGGACATGAGCGATAATGTTACTAAGGGGGGTAGGGAAGGACAAGGATGACATTTTATGGTCCCCCCAAACAACACACAAAACTACATACTTTTTATTTCCTTTTCTTTCTTGTGAAGATCACAAGATTGTATTTAAGAATTTATCGAGAAAAAATCTAAAATAATCAAGAAAATATTAAATGGTCGTGAGATGGAAACAACTTTCAATAACATTCATGCATCCACTCATCTTAGACATGATGAAATGAGCTTAAATAAAATGATATAAATAATGAGAAATTTAAAATAATCGATTCCAGCTTGTTTGGAATTGGAATTGGGATTGTGCATGCATACTCTATAATATTTTTATTAGGTTCAGAGCAGTGGCGGATCCAGGATTTTGAGGTGGTGGGTGCCACATTTTATGAATAATAGCGTGATTTCGAAATTTACATAGGAGAACTCTAATAGCCCGTTTGGCCCCAAAAGTGGTATTTGATCATAATTTTTAGAAGAAAACGAGTGTTTTTGGCAAGTAGCAAAAACTGTTTTTCAAAATCTAAAAGAAATAGATTTTCCTTGAAAAAGTGTTTTTTTAATAATAGACTTTTTTATCTGGTTGATAAAAATTACAATTGGATATGGTTGATAAAAATTAATAACCGTTATCAATAGAAATTGAGAAATATTTTTTAAAAAAGATTGGCCAAATACTAATTGCGATTCATAAGTGTTTTTAAAATTAATTGATCAAACAGAAACTGATACTTATCAAAAATATGTATTTTTAAAACACTGTTGGAAAAGAAAAAGGAAAGAAAGAAATCTCAAAATAATTTCATTTTAAAAGCTTGTTCAAACAAAGTATAAATTTTTTATCATTAAAATTAGCATACTTAGCATGTTGGTTTGTTTTAATATTAAAGGATGTCATGGGTTCGAATCCCGTCAACCTTAATATTCTTTTGTCAAATAACAAAAAGGTGTGTTAATTATATTAGTAAGAAAAAAATGTATTTGTCAAGATTCGAACCGCTGACCTTAGGGGCCTTAACTTAACGGCATGCCATTGGGCTACATGATCATTTGTTAATGGGGGGTGGCATGTACTATATTTATACCAATTCTGATACATACATACCTATATATATAGAGTTCCGACCGAAATCACTGGGTGCCATGGCACCCCCACGTTACTACGTAGATCCTCCCCTGGTTCAGAGGATATTATGGATACAAAAATCATTTTTAAAATATTACAACTTTGGTTTAACTTTGGCTTTTTTTTTTTTTCTACATCAAACCTGCAAAAACAGAATGAAGAAAAATAAATAGGGTACTATTTCCACAATATGATAAGTTAGCTGTAAATATAGAAAAGTAGACACTCAGAATCTATGTTGCTCGGACTCTGCAGTAACTCTTTCTTCAAAAATAGTGCATTTTTGGAGATTTCGACATGGGAGCAACAATATTTTTAGAGAGTTCGAGCAACATAACTCAAATGCTGAATCTAGCAGTTTAGAAAACAAAAATGTTGTCTAATTATGATTGACTTATGGCAAAATGTGAGGCCAATAATTTTTGTTCTGTTAATAATCTGATTAATTTTACTAAAGTAAGAATACATATAGTCATTTTGACTGCTCACCTATGGGCTCTTAAGGTATTTTTGTTGATAAAAGAATAGCCAACATGATGAAAAAGAAAATAATCTGCAAAAGAAATTGAGTATATAAGAAAAGATTGAATCCAGAAAAACTAAAGTATATACGTAAACAACAATGACAACAACATACTCAGTGTATCCCGAGGGTGGTGTATACACAGTCTTACCCCTACCTTGTGGGACTGTTTCCGATTGACACTCCACACATGTAAAGTATATGTAAATCACGAACTAATTATGAGCAAAAAAAACTCACCAAAACTGGAATATTATAATTAGGCTGATGGCTGAATGTGTAAGATTTCCTGGTGGTAAATAAAGTTATTAACTGATAGTGTAAAAAATTTCCATAAAAGAATTACAAGGAAACATAACAAACCTTTGATTGATCAAGGTTCCAGAGTTTCTGCAATTTTTTGAAATTTCTTCTAGCCTCTTCAAAGTACTCGTTGCATTTGGATCATCACGATCAACCTGAAAAGCATCGATTGATAAGTTGTTTTATATCGAGCACGATGAGATTTAAGAATCAAAATTTGACAATAAAATCAGAACCATAGTAGAATGTCAGCTAATATTTGAACATCAAAGGACTAATTTAGAATTTACAGCCTAGCGAATCATGGGGCAACTTAGAGGGATGACTTTAACAACAACTATGCCTCAGTCCCGAATAAGATGGTGTTGGCTATATGAATTTTCACTGCTTCATTTAAGCTCAACTCTTGACTGATAACTGGATAAATTAAAAACACTAAAGATTCAGATGTGAACGAAAAAAAGGAAAATCGAGCAGTTCTCAACTTTAGCCAATAACCTCTAGAATGAGTAGGTCACAAGACTCACAACTGTAGATAATGGCGGAGTCAGGATTTTCAGTAAGATGTTAATACACGAAGAAGAAAATGAGATTCAACATACTATAGTATACGTAATCAGAGGTGAATCCAGGACACGGATGTCTCCGCTACTTAATGCAGAGTTAAGGTTGTTATGAGAATAGTACATGTTATACCTTAGATTCCATTATACAACAAAAGTCAAAGAAAGCTCCGTAGACATCAGCCATTGTCCTCGTTTGATCAATAATCTTAGCACAAAGGCCTAGAAAGAAGAAACCAAAGAACAAGACATAGCAAGAATTTGTTGTTATCCACAAAAAATGATCGGACACCTTAACGTTATATTACCTTGTCTAGTTGAAATAATAGACATGCATATTGATAAGTTGTGTATCTATACCTCGCCTCATTTCAACAACACCTTTGAAAATTTCAACGTTGTTGTAGTACATCATCAAATTCCCCATGTTTATGACCTGGAAGTATAAGAAAGTCATAAAACCATTAGGACATATGGTAAAAAACAACGTTTTGAATTGTTCAAGGGAAATTTATACCAGCGGAATTGCACAGAACTGAAAGATAGAAGGATCTCGTAAATTAGACATGTAAACCAGACAATCTTCATTCAGACACTGTACTGCCTTGACCGAGTTTTCCTCGTACTTAAAGTCCTGATGCACATAAAGAAGATGGAAATTACAGAGCAACGAACCAATGTATGAACTTCAAACAAGAAATAGCACATGTTATGATGAAAACAAACCTCGAGTTTGTTAACATATTTACTCCAAATTTGACGAGGCCAAAACATACGACATTTAGGTACTTCATTTATATCCTCTAGATAATCTCTAATGATGCTTATTTTCTGAAATATATAGCCAAATATGCTTGTATCAGTAGCCAGCATACAGAGCTTTTTAAGGCTCCGCGATAAATATGTTAGGGGCCAATACCTGAAGAAATAAACCCATGGAAATCGAGAGGGATTCTGGTGCTAAATCTTCTCTTCCAGAAGCATAAATTTTTTTTGACAATCCTAATCCACAAAGTCCAGCCGCATAGTGACAATATTCATTATAATCATTGATTGTTTCTACCTGCACGAGACCAGACCACTTGTATGTGAAATGTACGATGATTAAGGGACCAGTGATCGTAAAAGCACACATATAACATGCTTTGGTATGATGACTAGCCATCGAAATTACCAATCAAAAGCTAGCGTAACAAGACTAGATTCAAGATAACCAAAGATCAAGCAACTCATTGGTTGATTCTGTTAACTTTTGTTCTTTTTTCAACATATACATAGAAGATTAATTACTCAAAAATGACAAAAACACATAATTCATAACAGGCTAATAGTTCTTATAGCATCGAAATTTTAACTCAAAATATGTGGACGGTATTAATAGCAGAAATACTAGTAATTACCTAATCGACTGAGTTTCTTTGAGGATTTGAATCACGGAGAGGAAGAAGGGAAAGGGGACTAGCAATACAAAGACACGAAGAACAGAACCGGTGCATTCTAATAAACATGTGCAATGAAGTTCATCATGAGAAATTAGACATAATTTGTTAACATTCCGCGAATCACCTCCTTGCATAGAAATTTCGCCATTCCTTCACCCATCCTCTTGGTAATATCCTTAATCACCTCCTGATAACTGCAAAATATGCAGAGCATTTCATTTACAAATACTCATATATTTGCAATTAAGTTTCATTTCAAACTATAATATAAGTTTCCAAGTATATTACTACTATAAATGGACTGAGAAGATCCAGTTAACTTGTCCAACTCGTCCAAATCACCCAAATATTTTACAATCAATTTTCGATATGCAACAAGATGTTAATACCTGAAAGTTAACAACTTTTTTTTGTGTGTGGTAAGAACTTACTCTGTATCAAGCTCTAGGAGAGAAGTGGAAACATGATGGAATTGGTCCATAAGAACTTTGAAGGCAATTGTATCACCTAATAATAAAAATTATAGTATAAGGGAACTAGATCAGAATTAAAATGAAAAAGAATTTTTTACACCATCAGATAACTTTTACGTGTTATAGCAGATAGCCTGTCTTATTTTTAAGATTGCAAATCCGATATTTTAAGGAGGCTTATCTCCTTAGGTGACCTAATAGTGTAAAAAATTAGGGGATCCCGAAACCACCAACCAACCCAACCTAATTCCTGATAAACTCGCCGTCTTCCTGGCAAAATGCCTATGGTTAAAAACCATTGACATGTCAAGATCCAAATTCAATTGGTTCCTTGTCCTGGTTAGACACCACTCTGTTCGCGTTAAAACAAAAAAAAGTGTTGGAATTTTCTTATCATTTTTAACTAGTCCTAATAGGCTTGATGCTAAGCGAGAATCTTTTGATAGAAGGTTGACTAGAGATTTGTTGTGTAATACACTAGCGATGTATATAACTTAAACTCAAACCAAATATGCTTGATTGTCAAAGTTGAATAAATTAACAAGTTGATCGAAGTTAAGAACAAAACCAAGATTAATTTGACTTGTTTGAAAAGAAATTAAAGAAAACTTACATGAAAAATGCCATTCAGGATCATGTAAATGGCTATAAAAGTCTTTTAAGATGGGTACTCTAACTTCAGTTGTTAAGCTGGTATCATCCTCTGTCCATTTGAAGAAAAAAATAGAAGGATAAATTAGCAAACGCAACATTTCAATGCACGGAAATCTTAGTAGCTCAGGTGAATGACTATCTGAATTTTCACCTTATTGGTGAAGGTTCGATAACTCACCTTGTAATCCCCTCCCCTTCTCCGACCCCCATTTTAAAAAAAAAAGCATTCCAATGCAAATTACAGAAATCAAAAGCTAATTAATCGAAGTGCCAAATAAAATTCCATAGTTTAGCAAACATACCAACAGTATCAAGTGCTCTAAGAACCAAATAGTAAACACAAACCTGCAAAGTTTGATGTAATTTCATAAGTCACAAGTACTTTGCATTACAATTTATTTGTTTGGTTTCGAATTGACACAGAGTTTAAAAAATAATAAGAATTTTGAATCTTATGGTGTCAAACTAAAGACATGTTAATCTTGCAGTCTTAGAGATGTCACGTAGAAAGTAAAAATTGAAGAGTTAGGCAAAAAAAGAAAGAGGAGTTCTATTTGAAACGAATGAAAAAATGAAAGTAAAACAAACAAATTGAAACACAGAAGATTAACTTACCACATCACGAAGGTCGCTAGGAAGTTGTTGAATGACAAGAGCAAAGCTACGAGACACCTTACGGAGAATAGCGTAGCAGAAGGCCCAGTGTGGCTGCAACAGCCACACTGAAGTCTTCTTCTCGACGCGTTTAGCCGATAACATGAGCTTCATCAATGGATATAATTCATCTGGATGCTTCATAATCTCCCCCATTAATTCTTTCTATAAAATTTATTTACTACTTAGAAAATGGACGTTACTGTTTGAGAAGAACAAGAGTGTCAATTGATAGTATATATATATAAAGGATGAGGAAAATATTTCACAACAACAACCTATTCCGTGTAATTTTATAGGTGAAGTTCGGAGAGGAAGGGGTGTGAGCAACCATACTCCTGTATTATGAAGGTAGATAGATTGTTTTTGATAAACTCTCGGCTCAAGTAAAACATATAAAAGAATCAAGTATGTTAACCAAACATAGTCGAAGTAACCAAGCCGAAAAGAATAGAAGCCGCGATAATATAATATGATAACCAAAGCAAATTAACAAAATCTAAGATAATCGAGAAGTAAATAAAATGACCCCATATTGCTATTCACCACTCATGTGTTATATTATTATTACATTATTATCATATTATTGAGCTGCATTTTAATATTTAGGGTCATCAATATAGCTGCCGGCATATTAAAAAAAAATGCAATCAATGTATATTAGTTAATTCATATGTGAGATTGTGTCCAGATTTGCAAGATACACCTAATGGGGTGGGTTCATTACACGTACAACTAAATTTCTCATAACAAACAAGTTTTTTCGCAGGATATAGGTTTTTATTTTCGTATCATATATAATATTTCGTAAATTATATCTGAATATGAGGTTAGTTTCTAAAGAACTTGTGTCTCACTTGACATAAGTTCGATTGTTAAATGACAAAAATTAAAAAACAAACTAATTTGAATGATGAAAATTAAAGATCGACCAGTCCATTTGTAGGGCAAAACGTGCCATTTTATTATGTATATGATCTAATAATTCATTAGGCTTGTGATAACACTCGACAACGATTGATCAACTTCAATAATATTGTTGACATCTCTTAACCAACATTAATTATGATTAGCATTAATTAATTAGATAATATCATTTGGGTATTTTAATTCAACAATATTTTTTGGGATCTACTGTGCTAGAGAAATGCTTTCACTTAGGTAAAAATCGTTAGTTTCTTTATTTTAATGGGAAAAAGGCTCAAATATGCCATCGAACTTTGAGAAAAGGCTCATGTTAAAAGTTTGGTTCATCTATGCCATTTATGTTTGAGAAAAGGATCATCCATGACATTGTTTGTTAACTAAAATGACATAGATGAGCCAAACTTTGAACGAGTAGCATAGATGAGCCTTTTCTCAAAATTCGATGACATATTTGAGCTTTTTCCCTTTTAAAAAATGATATAATTAATGACGTGGTCGAATCATAATTGACCACAAGTAAAAAATGATTTTACAAAATAAAAACAATTTTTAGTTAAAAAATAATGACATGGATGAGCCTTTTCTCAAATGAAATGGCATAGATGAGCCAAACTTTTAACAGATGACATAGATGAACCTTTTTTCAAAATTCGATGGCATATTTGAGTCTTTTTCCTATTTTAGATGGGGCGGACATTTTCAGTACATATTGAAAAAAAAAAGGATTTTACTAAATTTATATACTTTTCAACATTTACTAAATATGTTAACAGTGTCCATGCCAATTTATTTGTATCATAAAATCCAAAACAAAAAAGAAAAAAATACAAGAAAACTCTTTTCTTCTATTTTTTTCCTTTTCCAGAAAACAGTTGAAGGGACCCACACTAACCGCTGGTTTTTTTTTTCTTCCAAATTTTTATCTTTCCTATGAATGTGTGAAACAAATTCTAAATTCCACAAATAATTTCAAATTTATGAGAAATTGATCTTGGTCATTTTCATAATTACTGGGATCTTGATTTATTTGTATCTTTTTTGATACAAATTTGGATCAACACAGCTCTAATTCTCAATCATATGCTAAAATCCGGAGATTTGGAAGATACATTCATACAAATTTTGGGTTGAAGGGGAAATTTTTCGGATTATAATGTCTTCGAATTTGTATGCAGATCATTATAATCAAAAGATTGATTATGTTTTTAAGATTGTTTTAATTGGAGATTCCGCAGTAGGTAAATCTCAATTATTGGCTAGATTTGCAAGAAATGAATTTAGTTTAGATTCAAAGGCTACAATTGGGGTTGAGTTTCAAACAAAAACTTTACTTGTTGATAACAAAACCGTTAAGGCACAAATTTGGGACACTGCGGGACAAGAAAGGTCAGTTTAATTTTTCAATTTTTTTATGTTTGGTTTTCTTTCTCGAATTTTGTCTTTCATTTCATTTTTTCGTGCAATCCATGCAAATTTAGCGAAAAATTTGTGTAGGTGATATTAATTAGTTTGGAATTATGTGTTAGGCATGTTAGTACGTTTACTTTAGGTCCTATGTTTTTCAGGAAGTCGTTTGGTTATAAAAATATAGAGAATTTTTAGTACTTTTTATTTTTGTGTAATATTGGTTTGAGATGAGCCTAAATGGAACGACATGGTCTGAAGATTTAGATTGACGACCCTAACTTGCTTGGGATTGAGGTGTTCTGAGAGATAGTATGTTTACTTTTTCTTGGAATCGTCTAGTTTTGTCAAAGGTATAAAAAAAATATATAGAGAAATCCTAGTGCTTTTTAAATTTTATTTGTGTAGTATTGGTCCGAGATGAACCTAAATGGAACGACATGGTTATTAGTTAGACTTCATATTGCTGATCCCAACTTGTTTGAGATATTTGAGACATTCTTGTTTTTGTGATAAATCTTCTTAAAAAGTGGTTCAAATCGCGATTTAGACTTCCATATGTGTGTTTCTTCTTGAGTTTTTGTTTCTATCATTGTACAAGGTAGATACCTGTCTTACAATTCATCTCTATTGAGTTGAGGGTCTGTTGGAAACAACCTCTCTACCCCACAAAGGTAGGGGTAACGTCTGCATACATCTTACCCTCCCTAGATCCCATTTTTTGTCTGTAAACATTTCCCCTTTGTCAAGCTATGTTGCTCGGACTCTTGAGAGAAATGTTGCCAGGATCCTCCAAAATGCTCTACTTCTGAAGGATCGCTTTTGAAGAGTTAGAGCAACATAGCCAATTTGATAATTGTTGTAACTCAATGAATCATCTCTCATTTCTCTCTCAGGTATAGAGCAGTAACAAGTGCATATTATCGAGGTGCAGTTGGTGCAATGCTAGTCTATGACTTAACAAAACGCCAATCATTCGATCATATGGCTAGATGGCTGGAGGAACTAAGAGGTCACGCGGACAAGAACATAGTTATAATGCTCATCGCAAACAAATGTGATCTAGGAAGTCTTCGAGCTGTACCAGTTGAAGATGCTCAAGAATTCGCAGAAAGGGAAAATCTCTTCTTTATGGAAACATCAGCTCTTCAATCCACAAACGTTGAGGGTGCATTCATGACAGTTTTAACAGAAATTTATAAAATCATTAGCAAGAATACGCTTATTGCAGCTCCAGGAGCTGATTATGGGAAGTCACAATCTTTAAAGGGAACCAGGATCGTTGTTCCTGGCCAGGACTCGGATTCTGGTGGGAATAGTGGTGGTTGCTGCATGTCGTCATGATTTTTTATCGAGTTCTGGAGGTCTTTTTATTTATCCGAAATCATAGTATTACTGGGAATGTTTTATGTTTTATGTAGAATAGGAAATTGTTGTTGATGATGAAGTTGATTTAGATAGTTTGTTTAGCTATTTGTGTATACAGTTCATTAAATTGTTCACTGGGCATCAGGGGCGGAGCTACAACCCTGTCTATGGTTTCTGTCATGTATTTGTGTTCAAAATTTCACATAATACGTATAAACAATTTATCCAGAATCTACTATTCTTGCTTTTCTAGAATACAACACTGATAAACTCAAAATCCTAGCTTCGTTAAAGTTACAAACACACTAGTATGGTGAACGGGAATGATAAAAAGAGCTTGTAAGAGACATTATCCGCCAGGGTCTAGGTCTAGGGAGCTCAAGCACATCTAGGGTTGATAAATAAAATTAGATGGGCCGCGATTGTACGCCTGGAAGAAAGCAACATTGAAGGTTACAAGGTAAAAATCTACATAATTATGCCTAACCAACAGAAATGAAAGGCAATAGAGTTTTCATTTCAAGATTAAACACAGTGAACACCTTTTACAAACTTCAATCTTGTTGAACAGTTAATGTAAGTGTAGTCAACTACGATAAGGATTCCAGATCCCTCGAGGTGGAGTAACTACAATGTTTTACTCCCACGATATGTAGTTCCTCCAATCGAACTAGTCTTGCTAAGACCACATACTGGTGAAATAGTACTCGATGCTTATTCAAAACTTGAACATAAATCAGATTGGTTCAATTTTCCTTTCTCCACTGGCACCTCCTCTAACTGAGAATCTCTGATGCTGAGAATTTCCAAATTGACAAGTTTGCCAATAATGGGATATGTCATCCAACCATAAATTAATCAGACATAGCGGCCTCGGATTTGACAACCTCTGAATGGATGCTGGAAAAGGCGGAATGGTTTACTCATTCCAACAAAAAATCATCATGTGATGTGATCAATCTTTCAAAACAATGTAGAATGCAAGATGACATGAGAAAATAAATCTACATATTAGTTGTTAAATATAATGAAAGATGAACTTAGAATCACAGGCGGATCCAAATTTATAGCTTACAGAATTCTGCAGTGACCTCAAGTTTATATGACAATCAACTATTTTTTAGATATTACTAATACATATACTAGATCTATAGCCAATAGCTAGTAGGTTGACATGAACCGATAGGTTACAATAATGTAGATCTGCCTCTCCTTGTTAATTACCTCCATCACGAGCATAGGTATCAGGTGATGTTCAAGGTTTTACTTGCATTATTTCATTGAGTTTTTCTTACCAGCTTCCTAACTTCTGGCATGACTAGGTTCAGCTTCGTCGTCATCACTAGCTTCGTAGTCATCACTAGCTTCTTGTTCCTGCAGGAAACAGAGAATGCAAAAGAAGAGAGAGATGACTAGATTATTAAGTAAAAGAAAGTTGATGCACTTAAATAAGTATCTAAAACGGAAAGAGAGGAGTAGAGCCTGATTAGAATATCATGTAGCAATTACTTATATAGCTAGTGGAATAAGACATACCTTGTTATTGAACTCCTGCTGTATACATTTATTGAGATCATCTACGAATTTCACCTCATCATCATATTTGAGAATTGGTATACTCACAGATATTCCCTGTTGAACAAACGTCTTCATTTCAGGGCAGTCATCAATTTCCACATTTCTTAGATATGGAAATTCAAGGGCATGGTTTGTCAGAAAGAAATGCCCCAACTTAGGCAGACGAATAAGATGCAGCTGTTCTAAGAGTGGAAATAAGGTCATGATTCCTGCTCCTTCTTGTTCCTCTTTTGTGATCACTTCTTCCATTGATTCACAGTCTTGTATCCATAGCATTCGGAGATTCAAAAGACCTGTGGCCACTGATGGAGACATCAAGTTTCTCAATTTTCCACAAAATGATACAAACAATGTTTGAAGTTTGGTGAAGTAGTCAGTTGGAAGTTGGTGAGAGCATAGAGCACTTATGCTTTTAAGGCCATGGATGTATAGGTCTTCCAGGTTGGGACAAAAAACCTGCAAACATTGTTGCAGATAGAGTTGGAGCTATTGGAACAAAACACTAGGTCATAAGTGGACAAGCCAAAACTGCTTACACACATTTATTTATATATTTTTAAAAAGCCAAATATATATAAAATTGTATATGATCTCGTTTCATTTTTTTTTTCCATTTGGGCTGGGTCTAGAGGGGTAAAAAAAAGGGGTGAGATAATTTTTGAAATCCACATGACATTTTGAAATTAAAAGATCACTATTATATATTTTTTAATTAAATAGATATAAATTTATTAACAAAAATGATAATTATGCACCATATATTAGATGATAGAGGTATATATGCATCTAATTGTATTAACAAGAGGTATATTTGCTCAAAATCGCAAAGTTGAGCAGTATATTTGTAACATCCGACAATTTAAAATGAATATGAAGAAGCTTGAAATTGGAAGTAGTCATTTTTTTGGAAAAATTCAGAATCTGGAAAAAATTGGCTAAGTGTGGAAATCAGTGAGTTTTTGGCCATCTTTGAGTAGTCGTAACTCCTAGCTCAGGATGAGTTAG